CTCTGTTTTCGGCTTATCAGGCTTATCAGCCAGCTTTTTCACCAAACACGTAACTTTTACTTTTGCGCGCTGAATTGTGTAATAAGCCGAAAAAGTAAGGTTGGAGTTACTTTTCTGGCTGTATTGGCTGAAGTTACTGTAGAGGACCATTTTAGCTATTTTTACATATAATTTTTTCTTTAATTTATTAATAAAATATATTTTTAAAATATTTTTTTCTTAAATCAGCAGAATCAGCCAAAACAGCCACTCCAGCCAGAATATCATAAATTTCAGCAGAATCAGCCAAAACAGCCGATTTTGGTGCTACCAAACGGGCTCGTAGTGTTTGGAAAAATAAGTGCTTTTTAAAGTCAAAAGCTGAGAAGTGCTTTTTAAAAAGGAGTTGCAAACCAACCCTTAGCATATTTGCCGCAATTTTGGGTATAAGTGGTCAAATAGGGAACCGTCCTACATGGTGTAATAGTACATTTTTGTTTTTAACTGGTCTTATTAGTTAATTTTTTCATTAAATACATTACTTTCATGCATCTTTTTCTTTATTTTATTAATACAATAGAGTAAAGGGTCAGTTTGGTCCTCGAAGTTGCAAAAAAGGCGTCAAATAAATCCTTATATAGAAGATTCTGTCCGGACGTGCCATTTGAGGTGACTCCCGGTGGAATTTTTGATAAATTTTTTTGAGCATCTTATTCATTAAGTCTAGTTTACTCATACCAAATTTCAGCTAAAAAATCAACCGGGAAGACATTCAAAACAATTCTTGAAGATAACAGCGCTTTTAACAGCACAGTAATCTTCAAGAATTCATTTGAATGTCTTCCCCATTGAATTTTTATCTGAAATTTGGTATGCGTAAACTAGACTTAATGAATAAGATGCTCAAAAAATTTCATCAAAAAATTCGACCGGGAGCCACCTCAAATGGCACGTTCGGAGAGAATCTTCTATATAAGGACTTATTTGACCCCCTTTTTGCAACTTCGAGGACCAAACTGACCCTTATCCCTAATACAATATATAAATATATGTTATCCGTAATTCGGCAAATTCAACTAGGGGTGGTTCGGTACGGTATACCTTATATTTTTTCTCATTCCTTTGTCGTACCAAAACTTTCGGTATGCAAAATTTGCATACCTTTACCTTACCGAAGTTTCGGTGTACCGCATTTCGGTATACCAAAGTTTCCGTTCGGTAACGGTACGATATCGGTAAATTATCGTGCATGTCTCCCAATACAAAAAATTATTATAGACTAATGAAATATACTAAATCATTATTAGTAGCGACATATTAAATCTATTATTAAAATGTTACGAAATACAATTAATAATCTATTGATGTCAATTCAATATTGAACAATAATTATTATTAGTATATTTAAGCAGTTCAACATGCCACATATTAAAAAGTAACACATTCTCCTAGAATAACTTGAACAATATAGATATAATTAAATCTATAGTGATCTCTAACAAAAATAAATACAACTATTCAAACAGCATGTATATAAAATCATTCAGTTCTAATATGATATTGTGTATTTAGTCATTTTTATAATTTTTTAAAAATTGAATAAGACTTTCGGACAAAGTTGTGTGCCTCGACTCGTCAGCTACTTAGCGGCCTGCAGCCATCACGACTTGCAAGCTATTGGAACAATTAAGATGAACTTGTTTATTGACATTTGTACATTACTCATTAGTCATTAAAGTTAGTGTAGTAGAAGCCTATAAGGTTATAATGGGTTTGAGAAATTGGGCCTTTATTTTGGTATTTTTGTATTTGTAACCAACTTAAGTATTAATTTTGGGCTTCAAAATTGTAACGGATTTTTACAATATACTCCGTATTAGAATTAAAAGTAATTGTTGAGTAGCGAGTCAGTACGGTATTATACCGGCATACCGCGGTATTTAAAAACATTTACCGTTACCGTACCAAAATAGATCGGTACGGTATGATACCGTACCGAAAATGAGGGTATACCAATATTTCGGCATTTTCCGGTATTTTTTTGTACGATAAGTGCAGTATACCGATTTTTGTATAATCTCAACCATTTATTTGCTTGAGCCTAGGGATGGCAATGGGGCGGGTTTGGGGCGGGGGTACACTCCCCCATCCCCGCCCCATGTCTAAAAAGTTCCCCCCATCCCCGCCCCATCCCCGTTACTCCCGGACTCGCCCCATCCCCGCCCCACCCCGTTGTCCCCCACGGGTGCCCACGGGTGTCCCCATATAAATTTAATTTATCGTATTTGCATATACTTTTAATCTCTTATTATAAATATGTGTAGTGCGATTTCAATGAGAATGATGTTTAACGTGGGAACACTCACATTTAATCCAATGTGCTACACAATAGAGCCATTCTAGTGCACATTTGGACTTTGCTCAATACAAGCTAATATAAATAATCACGGTGTCACTTTTGAAAAAATCATGCTAGATACGAAAAAGTTCATTGTGCAAGCCCATTGTGTTTCACATTGGGTGTAAATGTGGTGTTCGCACGTTCTCACGTTAAGCGTTGTTATTTGATCCTAAACATATATATATCTACGCGCACACAGTAATATATGATACACACACGCAACACTGCAGTATTGTGTTTGTTAAAAGTTAATACCACCAATTTTAATAATTCTTCATTTTGAATAAGTTTTGTGAATTGAAGACAATTAAAGTAAAAATATAGGTAAACATATTATCATCATGTACGTTGTTTCAAAATTCTCAACATTTATTATACAATTAATTACATACTTCATACGTAGTATTATATTACATATAAATGTGTGTGTGTTTATTTACTCACTTTTTCACTCTTAAAACTCATATAACATTTATGATAAATATTTTTAATCATTACTAGCCTTATTATTATTATTCTAGTATAATATGTATTAATTCATTAATCATGATTAAACCGTATACAATTATGTATGTCTATATGTATATGCATTTGTTATATACTACATATAATTTAATTTAATATGTGTGTACATTATTTATATATATGTGGATATATATGTTTAAGTATATATTTATAACGGGGACGGGGCGGGGACGGGGCGGGTGTAGCAATACCCATCCCCCGCCCCATATTTTAACGGCGTAAAAATATCTCACCCATCCCCGTCCCCACCCCGCCCCAAGCCCCGCCCCAACCTCCCCCCGCGGGGCGGTTCCCCACGGGTCCCCACCCCCATTGCCATCCTTACTTGAGCCCGTCTTTTATGAAACACGTATTTATTTAGTTTTTTGTGAGTTTTGAAATGAAAAGTATTTCTCTGAATGGGCAATATATCTGTTCTAAAAATCGTTCTAGGCGCCCGACTAGTCCCCGCCTAGGCGCTAGGCGGTGGTTGGGCGCCCCTGTTTTCATCTAGGCGCTCCGACTAATTTGTTTGTCGTCTAGGTGAATTAGTCGGCCGCCTATGGCGCCTAATTGCCCGCCTAGAGCGCCTAATCGGCCGCCTAGGCCGTCTAGATTCGCCGAACATTACTTTATTGTTTAATTTAAATTTTCTAAGTAATATATGTACTTCAACTTTAGCCATGGATATAAAGAAATGAATTTGTAAATTAAGATAAAACTATATATGTTTGTATATATACCTAAATTTTATCATTATATTATCCTCCGTATCGCATTAGTTGCAACATTGAAATTTATACACTATTCATGTTCTCTACTTTGACTACATTCTATTTATTAATTAATGTGATTTTTTTTGAAAACATACGGTTGAATTCGTCTCATTATTAAGTTTCATAATCTGAATTTTAACTATTTTTTTACTAATACATAATTAAATATAATAACGGTCAAAGTTGTACGTTGGCAAACGTGAAAAAAGGAATGTTACAACTAAAAAAGAACGGAGGAAGTATATATTTATAACATAATGAAGTTAAGTGATTAGTTATCATATACTATGTATGATTAAATGTGATAATTCTATCATTCATGTTTGTTAATGTATATGTATATATGTATTTTATACACACAAAAATACAGTATTACTTATCATATTTATGCAAACATATAGATAAAAATACAATTTCTATGTCTCCGACTAGTTCCCACCTAGGCGCCCGCCTAGCCGTCTAGGTGCTAGGCGCTGGGCTGGCGCCCGACTAGCGCCTAGCGCCTTTTAGAATTAGAATACTCCCATACATCTCTATCGTTTTAAAGCGTGTTTCTCTGTATAAAAAGAACATATTTAAAAGCAGATTAAGTCAATTATTGCAGTGTTATGAAAAAGATTATAAACTTTCATGAGGTAACATCATTGACGTAAAATAAACCTTCAACCCCAATCCCAAAGCGACATTGAAAATTAAAATCATATTCATTCTAATTAATTCACAATTTTACATGTTTTGATGAAAGAGTATTAAATTAGATTGTTCACCCAAATAACTATTGAATTCTGTAATGATCTTATATGATCTTTGTATCAAGGCTTATTTTATACTGTAATAAAATATTTGTCCCACTCAGATTCCTCTTATCAAATTGACCGTTTAGCTTAACAGCCTCAATCACCCATCTATTTTACTTTTAAAAAATTGATAGTAATAATCTCAACTAATGACAGTCGCTCATAATAATCTCAACTATCGATTATTTTAGAATAATCGCAACTTTAGGGACCTTTCACCAATAATGGTTCGACGTGACCGACAATAAATAAATTCCTATAGTTTCTAAAGTGAATGAGAAAAGATATAGCAAATAATTTCTATAAATAATCCCAACTTTTAATTTTTAGCTTAATTTCTATTTAAAATTCACTTGTTATAACATGTAATATGTGACAATGGATTATTATTGACGGATGATCCATATAATTAAAATTATACAAAAATAATCAATAATTAAAATTATTGTTAACGAACTGACAATAGTTGAAATTATTATTTTCAATTTTTGCTCCGATTAATGTGCATAATCACTATAAAACATTAAAACCCATTGAGCTGCACAAGTTATCGTTAGATTCCAAAGCTAACACACATGGAGAACATAGAGCACAAGCAGATACGCGTAAACGGAATCAATATGCACGTAGCCGAAATAGGCCAGGGTCCGGCTATCCTATTCCTCCATGGCTTCCCGGAGCTCTGGTACACTTGGCGCCACCAGCTGCTCTCCCTCTCCGCCAAGGGCTACCGCGCTATAGCCCCCGACCTTCGCGGCTACGGAGGCACTGACGCGCCGTCTTCCGCTTCCAGCTACACCGTTTTCCACATTGTCGGCGACCTAGTCGCCCTGCTCGACTCGTTAGGCCTCGACAAGGTCTTCCTTGTCGGCCATGACTGGGGTGCCTCCACCGCCTGGCACTTCTGCTTGCTTCGCCCTGATAGAATCAAGGCACTCGTCAATTTGAGCGTTGCTTTCAGTCCGAGGAACCCTAAGCTCAAGCCGGTCGAAAGAATGCGCTCAATGTTTGGCGATGATTACTATATTTGCAGATATCAGGTACTTCTGCAAAAGCTGTAAACAGCGATTATTGATTTCTATGCTTTAAATTTATGTTCCTGGAGCCTGGAGGTATGGACTATGGATTCGAACTTTCAAGCATGACTCTCTGTAATAATAATCTTATGATCCAATAGTAGGCTCTATTCGAAAATTTGAAGCTGATTTAACATCTTCATATATCAATTGCTGAAAGGATTTCAAGCTATTTCCCTTTTCCATTGTTATGCATTTGTAGGAACCTGGAGAAGCAGAGGAGGAATTCGTTCGTGCTGGTACTGATAGAATAATTAGGAAATTCTTATCAAATCGTGATCCAAGTCTGCCTATAGTACCTAAAAGTGTAGGGTTTGGGGGACCACCTGATGAACCCATACAAATGCCTTCTTGGTTATCAGAAGAAGATGTGGACTATTATGTGAGCAAGTTTGACCACACTGGCTTCACTGGTGGATTAAACTACTATAGAGCACTTGACTTGTGAGTTTTACTTTCATTAGCCTTCTCTCTTAACATAAAAAGTTAACTAACCATATACTCAAAGGTTATTTAATGTCTGGTTCCGGTTGTAAATTGTGAAGTGATAAAGTAGGTTGCACTTTTAGGATGAAACTTTAGATAACAAGTGATAGATGTATCAATTGATTCATTTGTCTTTCAGCCCGCTTGGTAAAGGTCATTTCTCAATATACGGGATTTTTGAATATGCAGACTAGCTATAATGCCAACTAGATGTAGACTAGTATAACTACATATTTGAAATGAAGACTCAAAAATGGAAAATTATTGTAAAAAGTATTTTAATAGAAACAAAAGAAATTTTGAATAATGGGATAATAAAGTTGAAATTCACGGTAAATTAAAGAGATTGAATTGACAAATGCTACAATAGTAGTGTTTCAAATCAATTGATTAGTTTTAAATTCAGTCAATTTTAGCTCTTCATCCAAACAAGGCTACATGTGAATTATTTTTCGGGATTGATAAATTTCATCTCAAATTGAGCAGAAATGGTAATATAAACCCAGATTATATTCACAGCATTGGTTTATTTTGTTGGCAAATGACATGAGAATGGCCCTCGTTTGATCATACATGTTTTTTGGACAAAAGTGTTCTGTTTTGTGGAATAAAAGATGATAAACCACTGCTTATCCCAGATGTAATGTTCTATTGTTTTTAAACTAATGGATGCAGAAATTGGGAGCTGATGGCACCATGGACAGGGGTACAGATAAAGGTTCCTGTTAAATTTGTGGTCGGAGATCTTGACGTCACCTATAACACTCCTGGTGTGAAGGACTACATCCACAATGGTGGGTTCAAACGAGACGTTCCATTTCTGCAGGAGGTGGTTATAATGGAAGGGGTGGCACACTTTTGCAACGAGGAAAAACCAGAAGATATTAGTCTGCACATATATGACTTTATTCAGAAGTTCCCCTAACTCATTGCTTGAGTGTGTCGAAGTCCCACGAATATAAATATAATTGTAATTGTTCCTATATAACATGAATTATGTATAACTTGCTAGCTATTGTATGAAATATTTAGTGAAATAAAATAAAATACATGATGTTAAATGTTAAGGTGAAATAAAAGAAAGTTAAATTGTATGTTGATGCACATTTTTCTACTAAGGAGAGGCTTGGGATTCACCTTTGTCCTGACCCTCCATTTGCACTTAAATTACCTGCATTTCTCATTTCCATTACAATTCCAGCATTTATTTTAATTTTCACCTCCCACACCATAATTGAGAATTGAGAAAGAAGAAAAAAATGGCAGCCAGATTTTTCTGTTTCCTCCTTCCTATCTTGTCCCTAACCTTCAATGTTCTCTTGCAACTTTCGGATGCTGGAGCACAGGTGGACCCCAATCTCATTTCCCAGGCATGCGACTACGCTAAAGCTGGGAAGAGCTGTGTGGTTTGGCTGCAAGACAACGAGAACGATGCTGAGCTATCCGGCATTAACAAATCTGATCTAAACAGCATAGCCTTCTTCGCGCTCAAGAAGATCGAGAAAGAGGCGGTCACGGTGGTGGAAGCGGTGTCGATGAAGCTCTCCAGCGGCGCCACCGAGGATTTGTCACCCGCCACCCAGCAGGGACTCTCCGAGTGCAAAGATCATTACATCCCGGCCGTCGATTTGATAGAAGAAGCTGTCGACTCCGTTGCCAACAAAGCGTACCCCGACGCAATGAAGTTCCTTAAAGCCTCCACCCTCGACCTCACCGCCTGCCGGAAGAGCCTCGCCAAGCTGCACACCGACGGGAAGGAGGCAAAGGCCGACGTCCACGCCACCATGGCAATCAACCACCGTGATGCTCTTGCGTCGCATGTGGAGATGGCTCAGAGTATCCTTGAATTCGCTGCCTCCGGTGGCGCTGCAGCCTCCGTTGCTGCTCCGCCATCGTGAATCTTAATACATGGGACAATAAAATACCTCTGAACTTTCTTTCATTACAATTAAAAAATGTGAATTTACATTAAATATACCTTCATATTCAAACAATTGGGAGATCTATATGTTCTCTAATATAGTTAAATGGTATATACAGTCTCTAATATGTAATTCAAGAACATGTTTGTTACAAATTTACAATTTATTTTGTTTGAATGATAACAAAACATTGAAGGTATTTTTGTTTTCTGCCATATGATTTTGGAAATACATCTAACTTCTCCTTGAAAATAAACGAGCATATAGTTAGGCCGATAACATCTTTAGGGTTCATTGGCAATGATGTTTTCTTTTGGAGTGTTTTCAGCTTTAGACCAGATCAGACTTAAGCATACTAGACCAGACTTTCATAGTTATAAAATACACAGCGGCTAGACATTTACCAAACCAGACTCAAACAGATTAGACCAGCAAATTTTAGTCCAAAAGAAAACATCTTAAATGTGCATATAAATTAAAAGTTTATGTTTATATTTTGGAAACTAGAACTAGTAATAAGATTGAAACTAATGCATAAAACGAGATCTTAGAATGATAGGTTTTGCTTACCAACAGCACTAACGTACACTACACCACGAGACAGTGGTATTGCCGATGGGATTGGGGCCGTGTTGTTGGGTTTTGATTTTGCTGCAATGGTTGTATTTATGTCACTATGAATGATGATTTTGTGCTTTTATTACACTTTTTCAACGGTAAGAATCACAAATTAGACAGTGAAGTGGATGAAAAACCAGTCATTGACGGAGTGACAACTATGCCGAAGTCACTTTCAATTCCGAATGTGTCTCAAGCCACGATGGATGTGTCACCATCCCGTAAGGCGGCGGCATGGCAACTTGCCCTGGGGATGATCACAAGCGGCCAGAACTTCTTTTGAGCGGGTGCCCACAAAACATATGAACTTCGAATTTAAGAGCTAAAGTGTCATTGATATGCACTATAGTAAAAAAACTTTCAATGACATCCAAATTTGTTAACATATCTCAAATTCCCATTTACTCCTTGATTGAGAGGTTCCTAGATTCATTAACATAAGAGCAAAAACTTTATTCTCTATGTCTTCAAGAATAATTTTGTTGACCTCTACTGAACAAGCAGAAGTTATCTCCTTTTGGATTTTTGGAGATGTCATTAAATTATTTCCAAAAGCATTCTCATTCATTTTTTGGCAACAACTTTACTTCGTTGGGAATACCATTGAATTAATCCAAGAAATTTGTCTGTTGATGTTTACTCCCTTTAACCCGTAGACCCAACACATAACCTAAGGGCTTCGAGCGGTGAGTGTATGTGAATATATGGATATAACAAGTAAGACGAGCTTAGAGATGTATGCAATAGTGGGCCGAGTATTATAAAGTGATAATAAAGCCTCGTTACACTGCACTAATGTTATTGGCCAGTGGCCGTTTGTCTGACTACTCAACAGAAGAGCTGCGAACACTGCTAAGAGCTACTAGAATGCTAGAATGTTAAAGCGGATAAGTTGGCAACCCTTTACATTGAAATAAATGCTACTACCTCCGTCCCTTTTATATTGGGATGGAAGAAGGTGACACAGTTATTAAGAAAAGTGGGTTTGTGTAGTGGATATTGATTGATAAAGTAAGAATAAAGTAAGAATGATTTAGATCCACACAAACTTTACCAAATATGGTATGAGACAATTTTAGTGGGACTTCCCGAAAAGGTACAACGGGACAATATAAAGGGGACGGAGTGAGTACTATTTACACTGCCAAGGGGCAGTTGAATATGCTGATGTGGAGGGCTGTGGATGACTGAGCCTGAACCACCAGATCTCCAGCATTAAATACGCTTCCCGCCAGAATCTTGATTTCCCGCCCAATCCTTGGAGACGAGCGTCCCCGTAAACCTTGGATCGATTCTTGGGGATGCCGCCAAGGGAGAGATGTCATGCGCCTTATGGTCGTTAGCGTAGGAGTAAGTTTGGCTAGCCTTGGGCCAGAATGCCTTTGGCTGAGGCTTCTGGGAGGGATGTAAGGATAACCGTTGTTGATCCATGGAGACGTTCATCTGCACCCGATACCTTTGTTGGGCTTAGACGTTCATCCATGGATGAGTTAGATGGGTCGATCCTCTAATTGAGTCATTAACCAAACATTGTCTTTATTCAAAGAATTTGAAGACTCATCATGACCATGAAATGGCAAATCTTGTTTCAAAAGAAGACGGGTTACATCCAATATTATTGTTAAACGAGTTTGATATGAAACTTCTACTTCACGCCCTTTCCCCTGCAAAAAATGAGATTTGGACTTTTTTGTTGAGTTCAAGGGGGAGAATTGAAGGTTTTTAGAATTTAAGGTACGAAAATGTGACCTTATTTAACCTTTTAGCCTTATTTTAGTTTGTACTCCGTATTTTTCTCTTTTCTAATTTCGTTACATTGAGAGCCAACCAGTAAACGCGTGCAACTTGTACTGCTTTACAGTAAGATAGGTTGGCATTTATGAAATCCGAGTCCAATCTACCGGCAAATGGGTGGAACCTTAATGGCAGAAATAGTGGAAATTAGAAACTATGGGACTATAAATAAAACCGTTCCTTCCTCTTTTCTTCCTCCCCGGATGCTTGGCAATGAGTTAAATGTCAACGAAGCAAAAAAAGATGCATAACCTCAGGCAGAAAGCAACGCTCTTAGGTTCTTTCCTTCTGGTCTTTCTCCCAACATTATTGTCGGCGACAACCTTAGTGGAGAAGACCACTCAGAACCTTCACCTCCAAGCCGCCCACTCAGCATGCGAAGGCACATTGTACCCAGACCTCTGCAGCTCCACCTTGACCAAAGCCCTGCCCAACCTCCACAACAGAACCATCCCGGAAATCATCGCCGCCACCGTCAATGTCACCATGTCTGAGGTCCAAGCCTCCGCCACCAATTGCTCCAACATTATGAAGAAGGTATGTTTAAGATTTATCAAACACATAGCCCCCTTTTGAGTCAATTTGGTAGAGGAAGTCTCACTACTCCTAGATAGAAAGGACAATATCCACAATTATGGTTTTATTTTTTAAATAGGAATCATTACTATTATCATAATTGAAATATGAGTCATTAATGACCGTGGATATTGTCATGTTGAATGTCTTCTACTGCAATTATTCGGCAGTAATAACGAGAATATGACAGTAAATACTGCAATGTAACTCCTATTTCGAGAAGAAAAACATAACAATTATATTTTGGAAAATCTTCCAATTTTATATGGAGTATGAGACTTCCAACCATTGTTTTAAAATTGAGTTTTGATGCATGTACACACTGGGTTACACACTGTCTTACACATCCAAGTGTAATTATCTGTACACAAACAATTACGCTTGGATTTTAGTAAAGCGAATAGTTTGTGAGCCCAAAATATGAATTGTGTGGGCACACACATTTGGGGATCAAAGATACATCCCTTTCTAAACCCAAGCCAATGTGTAACCTGGTGTGTATACGAAGCAAAATTCTTTAAAATTTGGCCTAGTCGATCTAATTAATAAGCGTCTGAACACTAGGTGTTACATAATTAGAGGAATAATCGATCTAGTGGACCGAAAATTAAAATTAGTTGGTGTCCCCTGAACCGCCCGATCAAAGATCTAAATTGTGGGAAAAAACATACAACCATTCTTGGTGTACCCCAATTTGTACCTCAATTTGTACACAGCTTGTGTAAACAGGCATTTGGATAGAAAATCCTACTTTTTTTCAAACGAAATGCTTGTGTGCACAGGTAACTAGGGAGGATGTGTACAATTTGGGGTATCTATATGATTTTTGAAAAATATAACCATCCTATTTCAAAATTGCAAAACCTGTTTAATCAAATTTTGAGAAATCTACCTAAACATATCCGAATTTATCATGTGTGGATATCAGCTGCCTCAATTGGGCATCCTGGAGAAGCGGGCCCTGGACGATTGCCTGGAATTACTATCCGGCACTCGGGAAGAGCTAAAAAAGGCCATATCCGATCTCGTCAAAAACGACGCCGCTTCATCAAAACACTTCACCGACTTGCAGACGCTCTTTAGCGCCGCCATGACCAACCAGGCCACGTGTCTCGACGGCTTCGCCTACAGCAAAAGAAACGTCCG